ATAAGGCTAAGGGAACATACATCTGAGGGATCATAAGGCTAAGGGAACATACCGCTGAGGCAACATAGGGCTAGCGGAACATACATCTGTGGGAACATATAGGGTTAAGGGAACATACATCTGAGGGAACATAGGGCTAAGGGAACATACATCTGAGGGAGCATAAGGCTAAGGGAACATACCGCTGAGGGAACATAGGGCTAGGGGAACATACATCTGAGGGAACATAGAGTTAAGGGAACATACATCTGAGGGAACATAGGGCTAAGGGAACATACATCTGAGGGAACATAGGGCTAAGGGAACATACATGTGTGGGAACATGGGGCTAAGGGAACATTGAAGGAACATAAAACAAATCCAAACCACAACTATTCCATCAGATTAAATTCCTTTTCACACCACAATTTCTAAACGCTGGTCCGTCCAGCCCTTCAGTTAGTCAGTTTTTATTTTGATCATCTTAATTGAAGTCCTGCTCGATAAAAAAATGTAAAGTGATATATAAAACAGACTAATGAAACTGATGCCCATTGTGTTGTTGTCATAGCTCAGTTTTTCCAGGATGCTGTATCTGAGTCCAACCTGGATGAGATGGAAGCTGAGATCCTCAGAAACAAACTGTTTAAGGTGACTTAAAAAGTGTTAGATAATGTGTGTGTTCATTTAAATTGTGGATTACAGGGTTTACTATTCTAACATGAATTTTATAATGCTGTTCTTACCTTCTTTGGTTGAAGTCAGGGTTTTATGTTACAGACACTTAAAGCCATCTCCATGAAATTATCATATATTTTCTTCAAAGGCATATTTAGAGTCGTTCCACTCTTTCTGCAAGAACATGGGTGGAGCCACAAAAGATATAATGTGTCCTGTCCTGGAGGTACTGTGACAATAGCCACTGTTGAAGTTTTACGTACTATATATATACAGTATATATATATATATATATATTTTTTTTTTGTTTGTCAAAAATGCTTTGTATGTATATACTGTATGTGTGTGCTGCAGTTTGAGGCAGACAGGCGGGCCTTCATCATCACAGTGAACTCCTTCGGGACAGATCTTAGCAGAGCAGACCGGATTGCGTTGTATCCATCTTGTGGCAGCCTTTACCCTGAAGGGCTGCGCCTGCTGGGCAGCGCAGAGGACCACGGGCAGGTTAAAGAAGTGGCCGACTGTTACCCAGTGAGTCTGATCACATTTCTGTGAACTCTTAACAAGAGTATTGCTTCTGCAGTTAACTTAAGTCATTAAAGGGGTTGACCTCAACCTTAACTTCTCTGCAGGCGTATAAAATAATTTTTGATGACCCTGAGCCAGGATCAGGATTTAAGACTCTGGAAGACAGATTCTTTGAACAAGAGGTAATATATCTAATATACCATCTGATCAGGATGTAGTTTTCAGCTGTTGAACTTTTGATGTTGCAAAAATATTTGGACCGAGCAACTCATTTCACATATAATTCAGTTTTGATGTATGGGCAGTTTGTTTAAATTATTTTTACTGACGAAATGACAATTTGCAAAGTAAATGTTTTGACAAGTCAACCAGAGACAAAGCAAACACATTCTGAACTTGATTCATGTGTAAACTATATATCTTAACTTTATCTTAACCCGCCTTTCTGTCTCTCTGAGCGGCTTCAACGTCCATCCTTTACCCTTTATCTTTTCTCAGGTGAAACTGAACACACTGGCTTTCCTGCAGCAGTTCCACTTCGGAGTATTTTACTCCTACATCAAACTGAAGGAGCAGGAGATTCGCAACATTGTCTGGATCGCTGAGTGTGTCACACAGAGACAGAAATCCAAGATAAACAACTACATACCCATCTTCCAGGGAACTGAGCAATAAAACCATAAATCTAACATAGAGTTGTGAAACAACAAGGTAATAAATGCACTTCATCAAAAGCATACTTGTTGATCTCTTCATTATCCAAGTTTGTTCATGAGGATTAGATACTGGTGGTGCTT